TCTTTCCCTTCTACTCAGGTGTTTTACCGACCTACCTGAAACTTCCTGGCCTAGACTACAGTGAAAGCTTTACTTTTCTGGCTGAAGCATAAACTAAAATAAAAATCTTACTTTTTATTCAACCAAACAAAAATGTATTTTTTTGCTTTAGTATGTAGCGTGAGCATTCATCACTCAGGTTTAGGCAGACAGATTTTACCCAGCACACACTCCCTGGCTCAGAGCACATTAAAGGTCAGAGATCATTTCCTAAAATGATCCAATCATCAACAGCTGAATCGTCGTCTCCCCCAGTTCTGTCCTCTCCTCCTCCGAACACCTTCCCCAACTCCTCCTCCTCCACCTCCTGCCAGTTCCTCCCAACCTGCTCCTCATCTCTCTCCTCTTTGGCATGCGAGTGTGGCCTTGGCTCACTGATAATAAGAGACACAAAAATCCTCTTATCCCCCCCTCACAGCTTTTCTCTCCTCTGAAATGAGTCACTTCCTCACAGGGCTCCGGTCGTTGAAGCACGGCCAAGAGATATCCTGCATGTTATTGCCCAGTCTTTCAACCCGAGACGCACAGAAAGGCATTTTCAGAAGTGTCCTTACACACACTTACAGATCCACAAACACATCCATGGAAATAAATCCACATATACCCACACAAACTGAAAAAGTTATACTTCCTGATCTGGCTTTTAGCATCCGACAGGACGAAGAACATGTTCTCATTCGGATTCCGTGACAGATATGTTCGTTCTCTCTATGAGCTGCTAGCCTGTCTGGCTGCTATTACGGTCTTAGTTTTCCGTGACGTCCGGGGAGTTGGACGAGAGAAGATTTATGTCCCTTTTCCGCTGCATTTTTAAAAAGAAAGTGCTCTGTTATTTTTTTTTTCTTTTTTTCTAACCACACAAGCTCAACAGACACACATAAACAGAGGCCTTGATGAGGCCAGAGCTATACCACGGCTAAAGGTTTGCATACAGTAGCTTTACACACACTCGCTGGGGGCACAGAGGTGATCTTTCATGAACTTATCAGACATGCTGTTGATGATACAGCCAAAGCTGAGACTGAGATCTTTTGAAAATAAATAAATAAATAAATAAATAAATAAATAAATCGGGGGCAAAAAGCCCTGCGTGTCCAGGAAACACTCTAATCTGAGGTCAATTCATCAATTCATGCTTAGCTTTACAGCTTACGTGCACACACGCTCAAATTTGAATGTACTTAACTCTCATAGTCACATACAACCGCATACTCACACACAAAGTCTCACACACAGGATCCTTGTGAATCCAAAACATTCCTTTCAGCTCAAGTTCAGGCACATTCCCCTAATAGAGGGGTTTGCACTTTTATTCATGGGCCCTTCTTTAGAATATGGCTGCTTTATAACTATCAGCCTGGTGCATGTTGGGCCTTTTTTTTCCAGTATACTACATTGTCCTTTCAGTGCGGCTACGGAACGCAGAGGATTGTGATTTAAATGGCTTTTGAGTACTCCCTAATCCACCGGAGGCACATAAGTCACACAAAGGTAGCTCGGAAAAGGCCGGGCAAATTCCATCAAGCGAAGAGGAAGTCTTAAATCCCGAGCTTTGCTTAAATACCATGGACGTGACTTATTAATGGGATGAGTCTGACTTGTGTGTATAGATGCCCCTTGATCAAGTGTGAAGAGTTTCAGGTGACAGGAAATAACAAAAGGAGGTGGACAAACAGAACATTCTTCACTCCTATTTACTATTGTCCAGTGTGAAAGCAGAGGAGAGTGGTTTTGTCATGACATGCGCGTACACATCCAGACATTAACAAGCTCTGTAACACTTAAGCGGTTTTTAAAAACAATACTGAACATGGTAAAGGTAGTGCTTGTTTTTTTTTAAAAAATACATACATTAGACTGTAGGACGTAAATGCGATCGGGCCAAACTTCACAACAATGATGTTAGTTAACACCAAACTAATGGTTCTTATGCTACTCTGTAGTGAAACAGCCTTTGCTAACAAAAAACTTCACTCTGTGTCACCTCGTAAAGTTGTTGCCATCCTACAAATACTCACAAAATCCTAAGAACAACAACTATTTTATTTCATAGCACAACAGCCATTGGTCTTACAAGTTTATTTTGAGTCTTGTAAGCAATACGAATACAAACAGGGAGCAGGAGACAAGTGACGCCTGTGGTTCTGCGAGCTGTAACTGCAAATGTTCTCTCAAACCTTTGGTGCCAGAAGTGAGCAGTTTACAAAGTTGCACTAACTCCGTTTTCCAGTCGGAAACAGACTGTTTTGTGTTTTGTTATGAGTTAAAAACGGTGTGTCTAAGTGCAAAATTTCCTCCACACTTATTTTTCCATTTTGCTCCATTAGTGGTCTGTCTACAGATGGAGATCACTGTGTAGATTCCAAGATACCGAATAACTGCTGCAGGTTTGGAACAAGCAGCACAGACACTGCAGAGGGAGTTGCCTGGAAGCTAAGTGCGATGCTGCTTCCAGGCACTTGTCAGTGGTTCCTTTGTGCTGTGCACTGCTCGGACCTGTTTCTGAAGCATTCAAGAAAAGTTCCATGTTTGCTGCCTTCTCCAATGCCAGATGGGTGGGGTTTGCCACAAACATTGGGACAATGAATCAACAGGTTATTTTAGAATACAACACAAAAACATTTCAAACCTAATGACTAATATTAGTGATTGATGGTTGGGCTGATGATATTTGAAGAGGCCTATAGGTCAACCTCCACCCAAAATTAAAAAAAGACATGGAAAAGATGATGCATCGCTAATGGCCTCCTATATTTAGCTCCATTTAGCCGTACAGTACACCTCCTTTCCCCTCCATCATCCTGGAGGCGAAAGCTCACAACAGACACAAATCCTCTGGGTGGTGGCTAAAGAATACACAGACTCTTGGTCATCAGAGGCGCATTCCATTCCAAAATACTTGATTGAAAGCATCATCAAATATTTACTCAAGGTTCATGTATTAATCAAAAATTAAAAGAAAAATCAGGGTTCACAGATATTTCAAATGGCAACTACGAAGGCAAACAACTAGTACAAACAGCAAAAAAAAATCATATCCACAACAGAAAACATCTGTGCATTTACAAAACAATCCAATAGTGAGCAGAAACAACAGAAGCACTGCGTGTACTTGAATAAGTCATGTGACAAACATAATCAGATATTGCTTGAGTGTCACTCCTCTAAACAATTATTATCCCTCCAGCAGGTGTCAATGCATTTACTATTGTTAAATACGGAATAAGAAACAAGTGGTACAAACATACATAAAACACATAAAACATAATGCACCAAGGACCGATCAACAGGTACCAGCCGTTACTGTGGGTCATTACTGCAGCCAATCATTACAAAATAAAGCATATTTTAGACTTAGGTCTAAATGTGATATTTTGAAAATAGTGCCAGATTATTTTCAAATGTAGAACGTAAATAACTGGTACCTATTGACCTACGGACTGGTACGGGTCCACGGACCAGGGGTTGGGGACTCATGCATCTACAGAAGGGAACTTCATTAATACAAGGCATCTCTAAGTCCTAGCTTTTGATGTCAAAATGCTATTCGGAACTGAAATCCTACACAAAATCCACAAGACTACTCTAATAAGTACCATCCTGAACTTTGGTCCTCTAAATATTATCACAATTTGTTTGTACAGTGACAAACACGGAAGCATAAACAATCCAAGTCTAAGTCCACTCTGCAGTTGTTTCAAGGGCAGTGCAGTGTGCCACTCCTGACCAATTCACACTTCTTCGCAGTGTCATTTCTCTCCCATCTGTCCTCCCACCCGCACATTCTCATTTATACGTATATGACGCTGCTGCGTGCACCCCCACTGCCCCATTCTCCGAGTCAGTTCGCATCCTTACCTTATCCTTTGTGACTCGTCGACTTCACAGCCGTGGTCAGATGTCCTTCGTATTTCGATGTCCAAAATGTGAACCAAAAAAATGCGTTCCATTATTTGGTACTGGTGTACTGTTTGGTACTGCAAACGTAAACAATCTCCCTGTCCGCGTGCAGACCAGCCAATGAAATCGTGCAACACAGGTGCAGCAAAACTCAAGGTTCATCAGCATTTAGGAACGTTGTAGAAAATGTCAAATAATTACCTAATGTTGCTGCATAAAGTCTGAGTAGAATAAATGTTTATATAAATTTGTTTAAAAAAAATAAAGGGAACACTTAAACAACACAGTGTAAGCCAGTGTAATCCGAGCCAATCACACTTCTGTGAAATCATACTGTCCACTTAGGACGCAACACTGATTGGCAATCAATTTCACACAATTGTTGCAAATGGAATAGACAACAGGGGAAAATCATGGGCAATTAGCAAGAGACCCACACTACAGGAGTGGTTCTGCAGGTGGTGACCACAGACCACGTCTCAGTTCCTATGCTTTCTGGCTGATGTTTTGGACACTTTTGAATGCTGGCAGTGCTTTCTTCTTATAATTTGTTAAAGTGATAGATTGTTTTAGAGATAAAGTACAGATGGCTTGAGATATTTTTTTTAAATTGTACCCCGAATTCAAAATATTTTTATTGCAAAAAAAACAGGTCTTATCTTATTGTCCGTCCTCGCAGTTCACAGCAACATACTAAAGCGCTTCCATCTGCCATTGGGTCCACAGAAGAAGAACAGAAAAAGCATTAACACACAGCAGGGCCTCAGTTGATGATGTTTTCCAAGTGCTTAGAAGCTCAATCTCTCTTAAAATAATTACACCTGAATGGTAGAGATCCATCACAATTGCCCTGATCTGGAAATTGCCCGCAGATGGGCATGGAGTGAGAGAGTGGGGGGCAACATTTGTAAGCTATTATGACCTTCCTTCTTTTCAATGTCTTTTTTTTTACCCTCCACGCTTCACGTACCACTCTTAAAAAGCTGACAAAAGCAAAACCCTATTCTTAAATTATAGATTAATATTGAATTAATTCAGCCATTTTGTGCGATTGTGCTTCAACCCAAACTGTCTTTACAGGATTTAAATGAATAGGAATATTAGCAACCAGTGGGCATTACATGAAACTGTAGCATCATTAAATAATCCAGGAAAACTATGGCATCTCTATTTGGAGGAATAACTTTGAGGTTGCTGTCAAAATAAATCATTCAAATGCTAATTTTCTGTAAAGGACTTACTTCCAGCGCCAGTGGTCGCACTGTATTTTTAGCCTGATTTTAATAGAAGGGTACCCTTTAATCCTATAAATTGTGAGGTTTTCCTCTTAATGCTGTGAAAACAACCTCAAATGGAAACTAACAGCAGCAGATTAATAGTTTGCTAAAATAAAGCAGACTGCAGAACTGGGCAGCCGTGTCTGTAACTGTTGCAGGAAAAGTGAATCATATAAGTATATAGTGTACATTACAGTCCAAGGGGCCGTTGTTGTGGAGGCCAGTTTTACAGCGCTAGTTAATGTTTACCCTGAAAATATGTAATTGCAGACTTCCTCCTAATAAAGTGCTTCAGAATCCAGACCACAATCCTCCTGCTGCTGGATTATTGTTATTTACAGGCCTCTGGGACTAACTGGTCCATACACTAATGCATACATACACCAGTAATAAAGCCTCAGCCTGTATTTGAATCCTGAATATGGTCTCATGCAGTCATGAGGTTTATGTGAATTCACAATGTATGACTCTATAGAAACAGCGTCAGGAAGAAAAGAAAATTGAAAAACATCACAAGGTTTAAAAAAAACAATTACAAAAATATTGTGATTCCCCCCTTTTAATTAGTTAATTATTGGAGAAGACTGGGGCCTAATGCATCCGTGATTCAGCCTGTGATTGGTGGACGGACAATCCCAATACACAGAGTCCAATTACGGTTAAAATCAGTTACTTTGTAATTTTGCAATTTTGCATGTAATTTAAACAAAGTTACATAAACTGACTAAATGAGACTGGACTGGATCACATGTCAAATCACTGATTTTATTCAGTTGCATTTGGTGCAGGTGAGTAACTGGTACATCAGTTTTAAAGATGGGAAAAGTTCAGTGAACACATACACTTAGGATACTGTAGATAACAGCTCTAAAAATCACTATAATGGGAAACAAATCTTTGTATTTGAACGTAGTCCAGGAGAAGGATGTAGAAAAACCAGGTTTATGCAGCAGCTGTTTTTGTAAGCCATCCAGACACCGCCTTCACTGCACTTTGTCTGTTAAACGCTGCCAACTAACTCTGTGAATGAGTGAAATCTAATCTCAGGCTATTGATAAATGACAAAAACATCCAGCACACATCATGCTCTTTGACCTCACAGCAGCAGTGGAGCAGATCAGAGCAGAGTCCTGTTTCAGGAATGGAAAAATGCTGCCAAATCATATCTACTCTCCCTGTTTCCTCCTTATGTCTCCTTGTTCAGCGAAAAGGCAAAAGGTAAAATGTACTTTCTGCCCCAGATGGTTTCATTTATTACTTTATTGATCTATTGGTCACAGTTGTAGGAAAGTAGGAAGTTCCCTGAGTTTTGTTTTATTTCATTCACAAAACTGTCTCTGAAAGGATCAGGACCTAAATGTCAGTCTTTTAGGAAACTACATTAGGATGTGCCCAAAATCAGGCCACAGGACCACTAGTGGCACAGGGGCAGGATTTAAGTGGTATGCGCTGTTTTTGAATTTATTTTAGATGTTTTTGGAAAAAAAAAAAGTTTTTTTCTGGGCAAACATGTATTTATTATTTTTGGCTAATTTTAGCAATTTATTTGTAGCTAACAGAGACTGTTTTTGCTTTTGAGATTAATAAATAATAATTCATATAATTTGAAAACCTATTTAATTACTTCTTATCAGGATGTAAACCATCTTGGCTTAGACTCTGATCAAATATGTGTCCTGGATTTTATTATACAAAAAATGTCAACTTTTTTTTCTTTTGCATATAATAAATGTGTTTAATACACTTTGACAGGTAATAATCCAAAAGGAACCTTTAAATTTGAATTTCTTTCTTAAAATGTAAAATTACATAATCCCTCCTAATAGCTGTAATGTGTGCAGGTTTTAAGGGAGAGGTTTTCACAGCTCCCGTAAATGTCATACATTTCAGCCAAGCCACAAAAACAGCGTGTGGTCACTGAGGTCAATGAAAGAACTTGTGTGCTCAGAAGTAAATCAGTTCCCTCAGATTGTCATTATCATATAATCAGGTGAAAACCACACCACTGTCATTCAGACCTGGGACTGACATTCCCAAAGAAAACCTGCAGCCTGGAGAAAAGCTCACACAGACAATAGTGAAAATGCAACGATTACATCACGACTCTGAAAATGTAAATTTCATTTGGAAGTTTTTCGTGACAGTGGAGATTTTATAGACACAGTCTGAGGGTTTCTGGAAGAATGTTAATATTTAGGTCAGATGTATAAGTAACTCCATGTTTCCGCCCACTGCTGTAATTTCTCTGCCGCAAAGTTAACGCTGGACGCTACACTTGTGGCTGAGGCTGGCTGACGTCACTTACATTTATGATTACCGCTCGTAACATGTCTTTAAAATACCATTTAGAATGGAATTATTTTATGCTGGGTTATTTTTACATGCTATTTTGGCATTCTGTCATGTGGGAGCACTAACTGGAGCTGGCTCCCTCATTTCACTCTTGGTTTCGCAGAGGTCTGGTTGCTTCCTTCTCTGTTTTCAGTAGAGTAATGAGAGTGGACATCTGCCTCTAAGTCTGCTCAGTTTAATATGTACGGACAAATTGCATTACCTCAGTCTTCAGACCCATGGAAATGCCCAACATGGCTACTTAGTCATTACTGCAGTTTCCTTTTCTAAAGTTACTGGTGCAGGAACTTTCTTGTTTCTTATTAAAAATGTAATGAGTAGAAATAATTGATTTCATGTCAATGTCAAAACATAAGTTATATAAATGACAACAACTCATATAAATGCTAAACTCACTGGACATTGCAAGATGGCTAAGTATTGAGCAATTTACTCAAGTTAAAAAAGAGGCGTATTGAATTAATCTTCTCAATTCAATTTACATTTTACACCCTGGACTGCCAATCTGATCAACTAATTTCTAACCTGTCAATCCTGCTCACTAAAATCCAATCCACCAATACACATCTTTACACGCAATAGATTACAATCCCACCTCTGAATACCACAAAGAGCCCGTCCATCAACACTAAAAACAAGTATTCACTAGGAGCACACTCAGACATAACCTGCACCACCCTCATGTACTTTTTTGCATTTCCTGACTTATAAAAAGTTATTTTAGACTAACTTTTAGCTTCCCACTTGGAGAGATTTAATGTTAATTATGGAGAGTAAACAAAATGCATTGATACCTTGTTTTGAAAGACAGTTTCATAGATTTAGTATGTTTAGGTTTAGGTTCTCCTAAATCTCTAGAAACGCCCCCAGGTCTGTCAAATCATTAATTTCAGGATGCACATAGATGGGCCACACTCTACAGTACATACTCAGGACTTTTCAAAGATTGATACAGAGTTGACTCTTCGCTTAAACAATGACTGCTTTATAGAGGACATAGTTTTTTTGGTCTGTTAGTGGGAAATCTGTCCTCACGTGTGAACAAGGTTTATATTTTCTACACCTTTTAGTTTCCACCATATTTCACTTTGGAGCTGATCCGGAGTAATCCTTGCTTAGTTTGATTGATAACGGAAGTTAATTCCATAAATTGAAATGTAAATTGAAATCCATGAAAGCTTGCACTAAACGGCTGTGAATTGTTTACTGGCGAAGGCTAGATGTGTATTTCACTTGTCACTGCAAATATTTGCCAAAGTTGTCTCAAGAAGCTACAAGTGTGGTTTTAAAATTATGTCCCGTGAGGTTTGACTTTCACATCTGCAAACACGTGCATACTGCAAGCCCTCTTTTCCACATGCAACACACCCACTTAAAACACACTGCAGCCCTATCATACAGTGAATGTAATGGGTGACTGTGCTAATTGCTGTGCTGCTCCAGACGAGCGAGAACAGTGCGGCCTCAGAACCACATGAAATCATTTTATTCCACAAGCAGCGCGTACAAAAAAAGATCATCCATCAAGCTGTCACACAAACCCTCATTCTCTTCCAAAGGTAGGAAGTGAAGCTCTCGCTCTCTCAGACTGTGAAGTATGACTTCATCCTCACAACACTCACACGTACGTTACAGGCCACTATTCAAGGAGACAGAGTCAGGCTGGGATCTAACACACTGCGTTTCATGCATCTGTGGCACCAGGTAGATGGGTGTTATTGATAACATATTTGGATAACTTAAGTGGTGGTTCCACATATGCTATCACACTATGTGATGTAATGACTTGACGATCAGCATGAGATTAGGCTATTGATATGCCCCTGCAGATACGCCAGTGTGGGAAAACTCACAACATCTGCTGCTGCGCACAGATCAAAACAAAAGGCAAGCAATATTTGGATGTCGCTGGTTCAAAGAACCACGAATCCACATCAGTGAAGTCACATTGTACAGACTGAATTCTAACGCAGACAGACAGACATTCACACCTATGGTCAACTAAGTTTCCACATACTGCGGTCTGAATGTTTTTGCTATTTGGGAGGAAAACACATTTCTGGAGGAGAACATGCAGCTGTACACAAAACACCACTAACCTTGTTGTAAGGCACCAACACATACCACCACAACACTGTGCTGTGTACAACTGTATACATGCTAAAAGTAAAGCATTGTGAATGTTAAAATATCAGGCAGAGAAAATAATTCTCCTCATTGTAAAGTGTATCTTTTAAACCTTTAGCTGCAAAAGGGATGATGGCAAACCAACTACATACTGTTAGAAACTGGTGCCTTATGTGAACAAAAGCTCCTTTTTTTTAGTGCAGCAGAAGGAAATTTGAAATTGATTCCTGTCGACAGCTTTAAAAAAAATTATAAAGAATTTCTTGCAGAAAACTTTATGGATTTATATGAAGTCTCTCACCGAAATCATTCCAAAGTATTTTCAGACGGAGAGATCTGTAGCCCACATGTTGAGATAATGAAGTACGGCTCTGACCTGCACTGTATAAGTACCTTTAGAATATTAATAAGCCCAGCAGAACACATTACTGCTCAGTAAATGGTCCTTCCTCTAGTTTATACATTTTCTAGTAAAGTTTCATTTCAGAATTCTTGTTTTTCCTGTTAGCTTAAGTGAAGTCAACATTTATATGGAGAGCTAAACGACAGATAACATCCAAATAAAAAAGAAAATCAGCTTTAATATCTAAAGACAATTTCATGTTGTTCATTATAGACACTGTAGTCTTATATATAAAAATAAACAAAAAAATAAAACAATATAATTTTTTCAAAAAGTCTATTCAGAAAACAATTAAAAAAACACACACTGTTTTTGAACACAAATTCACCAGTTGATTAAAGCTTTGGCTTGAGCATTGAGGACCACCAGGTGGCGTTATGCAGGTCTCCTTTTTTTTTTTTTATGCCATTTGGCAGGAACCCACCATTAGTGGCTTAACCAACAGAGAAGGGATGACAGTTTGGTTTTGTGCTGATTACTGTTAAGATATGCAACTGCTCTGCAAGTGATCTGAAGGAAAACTTCAGGAGCTGCAGCGCAGCACCAAACCAGGCTGCAAACGTTTCCTTCTTCTCACATCTGCTCCTCAAAACCATGGTGGGCTTGGGTTGTGAGTGTGTGTGAAAGGACAGGGAGCAGATGCTCGGTTTGCTGATCGCTCAAACCAAGTCAGTGTGGGACAAATATGTGGAACCACTGGTTAAAGTGTGGCAAAAGCAGCTGCGGGGTGAGACCCAGAGACACGGGGCACACGGATGCAGCAGACACATGGTGTTTGTGTTGAGAAATAATCAGGCTGCACATTTTTCTTCCTGCTCTTACTGACATGAGATATGGTTTGCAGGATGTAGAGGAAAAGCAGAGGGGACGACGGAGAGCCAAAAACAAGAGCTGTGCATGTGTGTGAGCGCAGAGAGACGTAGAGAGTTTACAAGGTTCTGTCCCCATTCCACTTCAGAGTGAACCCTTTAGAACCCACAGAAAGTCTGGGACGGTTACCGCAGGTCTTGTGTTTTACTGCCGGTGTATTAAATCCATAAAACAGTTTAATCCGACGACTGCAGGATGCACTTTGAACTCAGACCTTGGAAGAGAGCCCATTGAAGTAAAAAAGTTCCTGTCCTCAGCTGGGGCCCCAGTTTAAGGATGTCCCTGCGAAGATGCAAAGTTTGTTACAGCAGATGGGAAAGAAGTCCAAAGATGAGCCTCCACCTGCATTACACTACACTCTACTCTCCGGTTGGTGAAGTCTGTCTCCTGGCACACTGTCTGCTGCAGCGCTCGACTTCCCATTGACAAAACAAAGCTGCCACCATCATAGTCAACCCCAGCCAGCATCAACACCAACACCTGTGGGCATGACACACAGGACTTAGCTCCAAGCTGCAGACCTGCAGCCTTGTGGTCTTTTTGTTTTGATTTACAGACTACACCTACAGACAGCACTGACGCAACCAAGAGCCAGTACTGAGAAGGTATACACCATAATGTGTATAGTGCACCTATGAAAATAGGCAAACATTGACAGTGATAGTAAAACTATGTAAAGGTGTGGCACAGCAGCTACACCCCAAACCAGAAATGTAGTTGTTTTTGAACTTTTGGCAGCTTTTCACAAATTTTGATGCAGCTTTAATTCCATTAAAGGTGCGGCCTCTTGAAGGGAAAACTAAAATATTCTCACTTTTATGTAGTATTTGCAGGGATTTTAATTTGTGAGGATGTGGCACTTAATTTGCTTCCATTGAAGATATTAATACAAGAGGCAGCTTTAATGTTTAGGGCCAAAAATGTTACAGTTTCCCAGATTTTAAAATTCTGGAATGGAGTTTGGAACAGCTTGTCAGAGGACTGCAAGATTTGTTTTCCTTTTTTTTAAGGACTTATTTGCAGGATATTTTGCAGGATATTTTACAGTATTAATTGCATTAAATACATAAGCTGTCAATGTGAAACAGAAAAAGAAACATGTACTCATACATGAAAAAACTTTAACATATGTTAATGAATTATCTGATGGGATGGATTGAACTTGCGCACCATGCTGCAGACATAGTAATTAAATATTATAATTTGTAATATATAAATATAAGTTTTAAAAGAATATTGTAAAAAAAATACACCTAAATGCACCGATGATTCAAGATATGGAACAATTTCCTGATTGATTGAGAGTTGTTGAACTACATTTTGTGAGGTTTTTTAGTGCGTATTCAAAAGTCCAGGGGAGAAAAATATAAAAAAGTCCAGTGAAAAAGTTTGCATATTCACTTTCCAGGGAAATAAAACAGAGTAGCTCCTCCAGTTTGGTTTCATTAATGGCTCGTCCAATCAAACCTCACTATTGTTTCATGATAAATGAGCTAATTTATCATCTCTTTTTTTTGCCTGAAGCTTGTAAAGAACCAGTGCTCTTAATTGTAATTAATTTGAGCCCAGTGATATTGTAGTGATGATCACATGACATTAGCCTCCTACCAAACAAATTCCATTCAAATGCTTCTGTGAACCATTATTTCCAATTATTATTAATCCCCTGTGAACGCTTTGGGAGCAGAAAAATGTTTCTTGGACGATGAGCCTGAGTCATTTGGAGTAAATGAAGCGCAGGGTTAAAAATCCCAGACTGGCACCGTTCTGCCCGTCAGTCACAGTCCACAAGCAGAGCACAGTAGCACCTTTCCATGTCGCCCTGCTGCCTGTCAGCAGATACATTAACCTATTAGACAAGTGTGGAAACCGCCCCCGTTGCTGGCCCACACTAGCACACATCCGCTCAGGGATACATACCATAATTATACCCCCACTTCATACTCATCTCCCCTGGCAACTGCAATCATACAACCTAAATAGCTCGGGCTAATTCATTACTTTGGTGGAGGGAAGTTGGCTGCCTGTAATGACACCAATTGCCCTGACCTAAACGCTGTAATAGGACCTCTCAGTACACTGGCGAGGAAATGGCTGCAATTGAGGCTCTTCCACTTCCTAGCAACCAAAGCTTGGGCCTGCGATTTGAAAGAGGAAATGCTTTACATTACCTGTGCCCTGCAGCTTGAAATGCAGCCTAATGAAGGTGAAATAGTCTGAATTAAGCAAGCATCAGAGTGTAGGAGGGAGGGGCAACTAACAGAAGAGTGGAAGCATGTGTTAGATGGGGGTTTTTTTGTAAGTTTTGGGAACTGGATAATGGCGGAAGAATCTGTTCGGTTAAATAATCAAGAAAGACCACAAGGGGAAACAAATATGCAGTGACCATGTTGTCCCTTACATTAGACACAGAGGAGAAGAAGGAGGAGGAGGAAGGAGGGAATTAGGACAAATTAGGCAGCAGACTGCAGGAAAAGAGTTTCTCAAGGCTTGACCGGGGTCACGTAATATTACCAAATATTTTTTATGATGTGTTATATACTGCTGAAGTGCCAGGGGGAAATGGGCAAACCAGAATGAGCAACACCAAGACTGTAAAAGGAAATAGTAAAGTATACTTAGAAAATGTGTCGAGGTAAAACTCAAAACTACTGAATAAACTCGTCAATGGATACGGCTGATACAGGGAAAAAATCTACCTGGAACATATAAAATTATATTCTCAGGTGAAGGAAAAAAGAAATGTGTTTACTGTTAATGTCTAACATTCATGTTTCCTCATATATAATGTCGGTAGCATTATGCTTCTCTGGTGCAGGCATAGAGGCATTAACTGTCAGTGAACAACACTAAAGTGCTAAACCAGATGTGTCTTTCATTCTGTACAATTCAAAAAACACAAAATATGATGCTTCTGGTTTTGGTATTGTATTTGCTTTCATCGAAGGGTTCTGTTGTTTGCTTGACAACAGCAGAAAAGAAATAACCTGGCTTCTAGACAGATGTCTGTTACAGCTGTGTGTCAAACTGAGCAGAATGTTTCTCTAGTACAACATTTACACGGAGCAGCAAGTTTAGGTTATGTTTGAGAACCTCTAAAACCTTCATCCCTATTGTGTTTGCTCCAGAGCCCCCTCTACTGGATCACACAGTAAAAACGGTTTGGTGAAGTGTACATCCTGAAGACGGTTCTACAGCATTGCAACACAAGCTGAACTCAGTGGGTATATATCTTCTTTAAACAACAGCAATATTTTATCTTTACTCATTGTTACTTCAACAAACACCACCAGACTATGGCTGACCCCATGGTAGGCCCTGGATTACATTGCAGAGGTCCCATTGGTTGGCTTACAATAAAAGCAGAGCTCACACCCTGCTTCTCTACACAGCTCATCTCTTGGAAAGCCTACCTGTGGGATGAGGTATGAATCCGGGCATCCGATTGGTCAGGAGATAACGCTATCTGGCTAATCTTCAGTCAGCGAGGACGAGGCCAGGAGAATGTTCCAGAGGTGGACTGGTGCACAGATGGAGATCAGCAGTGCCTTGTCTTTCTCACTGTGGTCCAGCTGGTGGTCCAGGTGAACTGCTTCACCCCCACAGAACCTCCTGGAGACACATGGGCACAATGGAAACACATTGGGTTTTATTGCCACTATTAAACACATTTTTGAAAACTGATCACATATTACTGGAGTGTGGGCACATGAAGTACTGACAAACAATCAGAAGTGAATAAGAAATGGCAGCACTACCAAGAAAAACAATCTGTTTTGGGTCAATTAACTAAAAACACACCTAATAAAAAGCAACACAGTTTAGGTCTGTGAATCTTGAGGGTGTGTTTGACCCTACCTTGGATTTAAAGAGTTTTGTTAGTCTGGAAAAAAAGCAAGTTTCAAAAACATTTTGTCTTTTCTACCAAAAGCAAACCACCCACGTACAGCTCACAACTACGTGTCAGTATAATGCTATCTGCCCTATTTCTGTTAGTTTTTGGCCCTTCAATGAGATGGCAGGGGCAAAAAATGTTTGATTTAGGGTTTTGACTTCATTGTAAAGAAGGTCAGTCCTTGGCTGTTTGGTTGTTTGTTTGTTTACTGGGATTACAAATTCTCCACATTTTTTGTGGACTAAATTAATTATGTTGAGTGTAGTAAGTTAGTATCTGGGATTTCATATTTGCAGCATTCACATATTTTCACACTGATTTGTTTTTGCCAGTTTGAAAAATATTTT